AAGTCACTTTGAAGCACATGTTGGTCGGCGTTCGTCTGGATCCTGATCCAGATCTTGATATCGTCGGCAAACCTTAGAAAGTTTGAAGCGATTTCCTGTGCAAGATCGTTAATAAACACCAAAAACAAACGTTGACCTAGAACCGAGCCTTGCGGCACACCACACTCCACTTGTATGGGGTCCGATAAAGAGCTCCGAACTCTGACTACTAATTGCCGTTGAAGCAGAAAATTGGCGATCCAGCTTAAAAGAGGCTCTCCGATCCCGTAATGCTGCAGCTTGGATAGTAGTATCTGATGGTCTAGACGATCGAAAGCCTTGGAAAAATCCAGGTAGATCACATCAACACCTCCTCCAGCGTCAGCTGACTCGGTCCAACTACTGCGTGGAATTAGTAAATTAGTTGCACATGACCACTGTAGACGGAAACGGTGCTGTTCAGGAGTTACGAGGTTGCAGTTTTCCAGACAGCACACCAGTGCATTGGCAACTATGGTTTCATGACCTTGGAGAGTATAGGAAGAAGGGTTACTGGGCGGTAGTTGGAGGGATCAGTTCTGCTTCCACCTTTGTGAATCGGGCTTATTATTCCAAGCTTCCACATGGCGAGGACTTGGTTCTGATCTAAGCAGTGCTGAAAAAACTGAGCTAAATTTCCTGCCAGTTGGTTTGCTGCTACTCCTAATGCCTCTGGACGAATGGAGTCGACACCCGGCGAGCTGTGTTTACGTAGAGAAGTCAGCTTTTGCAATACAACCTCCGCAGTAAAAGTGATGTGGGTTAGTCCTGGCGAGCAGAATACAAAGCTTGATAGATCGCTTGGTGGCAAGACTCTTTGAAACGTGGGGGCGTATTGCATCTGCAGCGCGTTTGCAGCTTCCATAGCCGTTCTTGTTGGGCCATCAGCCGTCTTGAGTGGAGGAAATCCTTGTCTCACCTTTCGTAGGCTATTAACGTGTTTGTACAGCAGTTTGTGGTTAGCACTGAAGGTTGTTGCGATGTTCTGCTGATAGGCGGCTTTGTCTTCTCTTAACAGTTGAGTGCAGTGGTTACGTTGGGCTACGTAGTTGTCCCAAGTTTCTGGTGCTGGAGCTTCACTGTACACTCGCCATGCTGCGTTGCGTACTGTCATCCATTTTCGAGTTCTGCTCCTAACGAAAGAAACTGATTTGCACTTAATGCAAGCTTTCATCTCTGAAGCCTGTGCAATCAGCTGACTGAATTTTTTGATGAACTCGAGCCAGGCGACTTCCGGGGGTTCTTCTTCGAGGAACGACTATATTGTGGCGCTGACTAGCTGGGCGAGTCGAGCGTACCTTGTGATGGTTCGCATAGTCGCATCGTTATCATTCAGATATTCCGCATAGCAAACGAAGTCGAAACTGATGGCTGCGTGATCACTGCGACCAAACGGGCAGTCTAAAACCAACGCATCAATCATATGCCCCTCGTTGGTAAGCACAAGATCCAGTACAGATAGTCTGCTACCAGTTCTGAACCGAGTGGGCAAAGTGATGTGATTGTAAAGAGGAACAGTAGTTACTAGATCTTGCAGATCGGTCTTGAATTGTTCTCCGATCGTGGCAGGGGCTTCTGAAAATGTACGTTGAAATCACCAATGATAAGAACGGGAGCGTACTTTTGTTGTAAAATGCACCTTAAAGCAACCGCTAGGTGGTAGTCTGTTTCGGGTGTTGACTTAGGGGCGCGGTACACCAAGACAATAACGCAAGCGTCCATGCCTTTTAACTGCAACCGGCACCAAAGAGAGTCGGGGAATTGCGAGTCTGAATCCTCCACAGCTTCGCACTGTAAGTCTTTTCGGCAATACAGGATTACCCCTTCTCCTTTTGTGAGCCTGTCGTTCCGGATCAGTGACATGCCCAGTAGCGAAACTTCAGCGTCCGTCATTCCCGTGTGCAACCATGTCTCGGTGATACCAATGACATCATATGAGCCGGAAGCTTGGCGGTCTTTCAGTTCAGCCAGTTTGTTAGAAAGACCCTGAGCATTCGTATATAAACAGGCCAGTTTCTCGGTCTCTAGGAGCCCGCAGAGAGGTGAAGCTGTCAAGTGTGGGAGAATGCCGACCGATGGGAGGTCGGCAGTTACTCGTTTTTTGATGGGTCAATGATACCTTGTTTTCAACTTGATTCGGCCAAGATGCGTCCCAACCTTCGTTTAGACCTACGTCAGAGTCAATTCAAGCAGCAGTCAAGTTACGCTTTTGTACATTTGTCGGTATGCTTGCTGCTTCAGTTGCTTTAATATTTGAGCTGTGCAAAGTGTTTGCGACCTTCAACCGAATATCGGAAGGAAGATGTTTCCGACTTCTCCGCCATCGATCCAGAACATCCTTTGCTTGTTGCTCTGACTGAACCACAAGTTTTAGGATTCTAGGGCAGCATCCTCTATAATTTGGTGAGAGAGGTATCCTGGTGAGCCATAGTGCCACAACATTATCCAAAGAAAGTGTTTCACGAATGAACCGCCACTGTTCTAAATCGTGCTTTCTGGTATCTTGAACATGGTTAGAAGGATGTTCTGGCACGCCATGTATGAAGATTGTGTTTAAGCGGTCTTGCTTGCTGTGCCCCTCTTCGGTGTTTCGTTTTGGTTGTCGCGCGCTCCAAGGGACATCAGGATAGATACGTATCCCACAGGATTCGTGTTTTAGCGCGCTTGCGGAGAGCAAAACGTTTTTTACGTCGGTGGAGGATTCTAGAGTTACTCGAATAAGTCTGGGTTCACCATAGTGTGGCGAGTTCGGATGACGAGTAATTCGTAACAAGTTTATGGGCTTGGCTTTGATACTCATCTGCATGCACAATGAGTTCCACTGGTCTTGGTCGTCTGATAACTTATCCCGCAATGTGATGGCGGTAGATTTAGGGACATTTGAGCATACAACAGTCCGGGCACTGTTGTTGGGTCCCTTTTTAATAGATCTACAAGTTATGGTACTCATTTGTCTTGACTTGTTGACAAGTGATTGTTTGCCGTTTTTCTCTCCATTTGCGTTAACGGTGTTTACAGTGGAAGAGGACGCAACGGCGGCCTCTCGGTGGACCCTTGCATCAATCTCTGCATATGTAACAGATGTTCTGGGAGACTTAGTCTCGACAAGAGATATTTGAGATACAGGCACCAAGGGTTGGTGTTTCGCTGCTGCATCCTTGTTAATACTAAATGTCAGGTCTAGTGTAATTTGCTTAACCAGATGTTTTGAATGGTGCTTGATTTTCGTTGCCGTGTGTACTGTTTGATTCACGTAGGTACAGTCTGTTTTCGCCCGGCGTTCGACCAAAGTTGGAGAAGACAACGGAAATGGAGACGTGGCTGATTGCGGTTCAGGGGAAGCGGATTGTTCAGCATTCCGTTGCTTAGCAGCCGCTACGCTTCTGTGGTTCATACTCGCTTCCATTGAAGTGATTTTATCGTTTATCCTCTGCTCTGCTTCTGCGATTAACCGGTCGCATTTCTCAGTTAGGATAAGCAAGCATTTAACGAGGGGGATGGTGGAACACGCAGTACAGAGCCAAAATGCATCTTGGGAGCTATTTCGTTCCCGTTGCTGTTGTTGGGACACATTTGCACATTTCGTATGGTACCATTCCAAACAGTGCGAACAAGCCAGACCGATTTTCACTACTCTATGACATTCTCCTAACCCGCAAATGCCTTTCGATGGGAGTCTCATCGGTTTCGCCTTTCTGCCATTCAATTTGGTGTCGTTACCTGACCCAGTGGGTTGGTTAGCGTTCTGTACTTTTACAGCTTTGCGAGCGGCGCACATCGGTCAGGCGAGCGTGGTGGTCGCAAGGTCAAATGAGCGGTCGGTGTGGTCGCAAGGTCCGTGTGATGGGTTATGCAGCCGCACTGGCTGACAAGGTCACAATGTTTAACGAAATCATTGTGTTGCGTTGGCAGGATACTGTCAGGTTGCCCAAAGCTAAACAGGATAATGAATAGGGTTCTCAACCAGAACTTATGGTTCCAACACCTGAGCGCAATGCAGCGGGATTTTGGCACTATGATGTAGACAGCCAGTTTTATAAAGTAAGGAGCCATCTTCATTCCAACCCCCAAACCTGGAGGATCAGGAAACTGAGACTGTCTAGCTTCTAATCACTGACCAAGCTGGTATGGGCGGCTCTGAAGATACAAAAAGAACCACCCAACATAGCTCAGTCGATGGTTGAGGCACGTAAACCATCGCATCACGTTAAGATGCAGTCACGTAGTGATAGAATTCTCTGTGTACCTCAAATCTATTCAGAAAAGGTGGGTAGTGTGATGGGAGTTGTAACTTAATGGATGACATGCCAGGGGCTAGAACAATGTTTTGGTCAGATTGCCTTCTATCCATTCAGAAAATGCGCCACACGGGACTCACAGGTATTACCTATCCCCCGAACCCGAGAGTAATAGAGGCTATGATCTCGGCTGTTTAAGCTACTAGCCCATGGAAAACAGCAGTAGAAGGTCATAATTTATAAGCTAGCTACGATATAGCGCGACTTATCCTCCAATGTTATTCACGCTAGGAGTTTTGTAGAGGGCAGGGTTGGTCCCCACAGCTACGGCTTCTTGTACCAGCAGCTATGTATGGCATCTTATGTAGAAACTGTACGAGAGTTGCCGAGTGAATGGAAGGCCATTTGACCGCAAGTTAACTGTGATGAATCATTATTCAGAATCGCACATTAGTGTACTCTTTGAAGTGAGATTGATAGGAGGAGATAATTCAAGGTGTTGAAACAAGCTGAATTTGTACGCTGACATCTCACAGAAAATCGATGATTATACACTGGGGTTGTAAAAGATAGCAAAACGTTGTAGCGTGTCTGAGGGGCTAAGGTGTACAAACAGTATCTACACAGCATTTGATCAAGGTAAAATAACGTTTTCAGAATATGTACATGCGTGTGTGTGTGTGTGTGTACAAACATAGACCAGCACGTCCCATGAAGCCGCTTTACATCGTCCAAAGGTGTGATTCATGCGTCATTGCCTTCACATGTTGCGGGGACGACCGATTCCGTCGGATGAAACACTGCTATGGTGGGAGTTAGACGCGACAGTAGAGCATCCGTTTCTTCGCTGCCCAAAGCGGAAGTCCACAGAGTGCGTAGGTGACGCTGAATTTGGCGCTCCAATTGACGATGTTCCGACGCTAGTGCTGAGTCGAAAGGTACGGATTGGTTGCTGTAGGAATGGGTTTAACAACACATGAATGTCAGTGGGGTAGTTGAACGGGAACAGAGTACACATCAGAGTTTGAGGTGTGTCACGCAGCGGGAAAAGCATAAAAAAGCGATTGATATCGGATACTCGACAAGCAAACGACAGTCCCGTTTGGAGGAGCGAAAAGAGGGGTTTGGGATCAATTTGAAGAGCGATCAGCGTTTTAAAAATAACTAACAGTTATCCAAACTGGTTTGTAATTCCATCAGAAGATGGCGTTTCAGCAAGAGAAGACGCGGTTCAGATGGTCAACCATGTCCCTCGCACTATAAGGACGTGCATGATAGCGAGAGAGGAGTATTGCATTAGCTTGCAGCTAAGTATTTAGTCAAGGAGTTTCCGCTCATCACCCTTGATGAACGCGTAAAATTAGGATCGCGGATTCTAGCCCTATCGAGAACACACCGGTCAGATTGCTGTGTAAGTCCATAGGAGAATAATATGCGAAAAAAACAACAACTGCATCTTCGAATTAAATGAATCCCAAAAAGACAGGTTTTGAATGAAAGATTCCATGCAACATTGACTGTGATAAAATGGCTTTTCGTTCTAATTGGAGCAATCGGAATCAAAGTACCGCAACGAAAAAGGCGCAGTGGTTAATCTCCGGACGAGACAAAAAGCGCAACATTTGTACGTAAATCATGTGACACACAGTCATAGAACATGAGAAGCTTATTGTCCTAGACTCCTAGAGTGCATAAAGCATCGCCCATATCTGTTGGGTACACCGAGCGTAGATTCGCGAATAAAACCGTCTGGCACCGCAATGGATTCCCTGTTGTGACCAGGTCACGCTCTGCGCATGCCTGATGAGGAAACAAACATTGACGCGTGTAGTTTACCAATGCCAATTGTCGGCTGAGTGAAGTTCAGGCGTAATCAGGTGATCACATGCCACGGTGTAGAGACTGAACCAGGTTAGCATCTGTTGCTTGCGATGCTAAGGCCTGAGGACCAGCCATATGAGGAGTTAAAGAAATCATCAGTTATGGCACAATCAGATCGGTGAAGCTCTTGTACCCATCAATAACAACGCAGGCACGCCGTGTGTTGATATTTCACTGTCATATGATTGTGCCTCATGCTGAGGTTGATGTTGCATTCATGATGCTTCTTCACCGCAGTTGGGCCAAATCAACTTACACTAAACCTAGGTCTTTTTAATCTGGATAAAAGTCAATCCTCTTTATATGGTTTGTTCAATTCTGTTACTTTGTTGCATATTCTGTGTCAATTTTGCGTGTTTGCTTTCCATTAAATTCTGTTGGTTGTTTGATATCCCCGATGTGACTGTGCTTGATGTGTATGTTGACAAGGTGCCTACCAGTCTAACACCCCCACCTCGATTACTGGATCCAGGAGACATAATCGTTACTGGGTGGGATGGGATGCATGGTCTTCGTGGCCGTGCCAGGCTCTAAGTGTGGTTCCATACAGTGTGGAGCGGATTATGGTCCACCCACCGTCTTGTGTAAGTCTGGTATGCATGATTCCTCAGTTAGATACATAAAAATTCTGCAGTTGTGCATGCTGAAGAAGTGTGGGCCGGCTCCGTTGATGAAACATGGCTCCAATCCACATGCCACTCGGTCTTATTCCTTCGGGTTTACACTGGATATGGGGTGTGTGGATGGAGCTGTGGGTGGTGTAACGCAAGCTACCCATGGTCCCTCTGAAGGCGCCGGGGTCCTGTGGCTGTCCTATGGAAGCCACAGTGACAGGCAAATCTGGAACCGGATGCCGTCAACGATATACTCAAATTGACTCCATTGAAGAGCAGCGCAAGCATTTAAATACAGGTGATAAGACGAGGACATGGAAGAAGTCATCGACGTCGAAGACAGTGACAACTCCAGATAAATAACCTCTCCTAGTTTCAAAATGCTATAGATATAGCGTCTAGTGAGAGGACGTTAGCGTCTTGCAGGCTAATCACTGTCAGTAACAGTGGAAGATAGGTGATGTTATATCCCAGTTAGTTTGAAAACTATGTAGCCCAGCCAACGTCCCCCATGGCTTAGTGGCTTAAGCTGCTGACTAGTTGGCATCTGTCTCTAGCAGTTATGGGTTCGATCCTCTTTAGAGGACCGAAGGAATGCGCACCACTGACTAATACTGAATACTGGTTATAAGCAGCAAGTAGAGTTTGCTCTATGTAGCTGCATCGATGGTTGCTTATAGACAAATAACCGTTACATTGAGTATCGCTCAATATATTTTGCGTCGGCAAAGTGTTCGTCAAGTAACGTCTTAAATTCCGACACCGACTTTGCTTCAACTACGTACTGCGGTAGGTCCTTCCATGCGTTCACCACTGTGCGTTCGAAACATAGTTGGCAAGCCGCCCGCTTCAAATCCGGTACGACAAGCTTATACCGGTGTCTTCGTGGGCTGCTTGGTGTGCGCAGATGAAGCAGTTATCTCAATATGGGGTAATCTTCCAGATGAAATATCCGGTGAGTCATGATGAGGTCTACCCTCATTCGACGATAAGCTAGGGTGTACAGCCCTAGTTTCTTACACCGGTCATCGTACGGTACACGTCGTATGTTGGAAATCAGCCTGGTGGCTACGTGCTGCACTCGCTCAAGCTTTTCTACCTCGCCCTCGGTAATAGGACAATACGCGGGAGAGCCGTACTCTAGCATTGGTCGTATTATTGAAACGAAGAGGCGAGTGGCAATCTCTTCAGACCAAATGCTGAAGCTGCGCCTGAGCGCCCAAAGCATCCGAAGGCTGTTTTGGTACAGCCTATTCGTGTGGTCCATGGACTTTAGGTCGAGCCTCAATAGAGCGAAACGCGTCTAGTGCTTTTCCGGACTAGGCTCTGCTATGTAGCTTGTCAACTACTGGGATGGAAAACCTTAACAAAATGACAGTTAAAATCCTGCTACTTACCAGTAACTCCAGATCAGTTCGCGGACATAAGACACCAAAAGAAACTCACTCACTCAAAGCGAAAGGTGTGCCCCAAACTGAACAACAACAAGGCTTCTTTGTAGACTGAATTCTGTGCATCTGCGATGCCGTGGAACAGGAGCATCACATCTGGTGGAAGGGCATCGATGGATGGGAAATGGAAGCACCGAATTCCGTTGTTGTACGCGCGCTTCAGTTTTGTATCAATGTCCAGTTTGTAGTTGGCCGACTAGAAAGGAAAGGAAGGGAGCGTTCACTTGCAAGTAAAATCCTCTGGACAGTTTATGTTTAAAACATTGTTAAGCAAACACTTGGCATAGAATTCGCGCAACTTACAACGCTTATGTAGATTTCTTAGCCCGGTGTAGATATAGAAAATTTCACGGTTAACAAGAACAGATCGACATATAATAATGTGGTGATAAATGGGCAGTCAGAAGCAGAAACAGTAATGATCTGATGTCACACAGACCAATAGTGAAAGTAGTTGACTAAGATCACCTGCGCTGGACGGCTAGATGACGACACGCCTGAACTGAAATCAACGGCGCGCAACCGCCTCTGAAGTACGGAGGAATGTGATTGGCCTATGTAGCAGCAGAGGCTGTAAGGCACGAGACCAATGGGAGTTGATTCGTGAAGTATTACCGAAAGTGACAACTAACCGCATCAACAGCGAAGTATCACAAAGTGATGCGGATTAGAAATAACTGGTTGTTTGGTGGATAACCGATTCCGCCGAAGTTCAGTACTCGATCCGTTTCTGGCGGGTTCTCGAGAATATAATAGTGATGAAAGAAAAAGTCATCGGTAGTGCGCCGGTACGCGCAGTACCGACGCTTCGCTGCCGCGCAACCACCAACAGTCGCACGCGGGTTAGGGATACTGCGACGATCGCCCGGTACCTACACAACCGGCATTTCCGGATGGTCCACATTAAAGTCTCCAGCGAAGAGAATGTGCCTTTATGCATGGTTCAGGGCTCCCTTCGAAACGTGACTCAGTTTGGAGTCCATTTACGGCGTAGAGTTTGGCAGGCGCCAAATTACAACTAAACGACATGTTCCGCAACCATAGCCAGCCCCAAAGCGAATCAGAAACGCGGATTTCTGAATGATCAATAACCTCACATCCATTAGTACCGTACTAAGAAGTTACGCAACCACATATGACAGTACTATCGTTTCGAAACAGCGACATACTGCATTAATTTATCTCAGAATCGGTTATCTCGATGTTTAACAAGGTCTCTATAATCAAGATGCAGCCCCCCGGTTAGGAGGCCTAGTGCTCTCTAAGTTCGGCCAAGTTACTACGAAGGGCTTGGGCGTCAGTCATTAAAGAGGATAATGTTTTGGTTGCTAAGATTGCATTGATGGGTTCTGAATTCGTGTTCTTTTTTAAGTCGACCGTTTTGTGGCAGGTCGCTAATCACTTTTGATAGGTCGTTAGTTTCGAATTTCAGTCGGACTGCATGGCCGCACAATAGTTCAAATCTGGATGATCTCTCGTACTTCGCTTCAGCCTGCCAGGTGCCGCGGATGTTGTTGTGTCATACGCCATACGAGTCATTCAGGATGACTAATCTGTACTTGGGTCTTTGCATAACCGATGGCATGGACAAGTGTAATATCCTGTGGTTTAAATGCCAAGTACCTCCAGATAGTATGTGCAAGGCACATACATCAGGCAATGAGAGCAGACAGCGGATTGGGCGAGAGAGATTTTGGTCCACTTAGTTTGTAACATTGTGGTTTATAAGTTTCGAAGGCCACGAAGACCATCGGATACAGACATCGTCATCCTTATCTAATCGAATCTCGAATCGGGTTCCATAAGGCATATGTATTAACAAATGTGGAATATTGTTCAGTAGTCCAGCTAAATCTGCAAAAGTCGTATAAGCATGCGCTTGTGGGAGTCTCGCGACGTTTCAAGAAAACATATGCGGTTGTTCATCGAAGATGATGTAAAGATAGCACTGTGGCGAGGTTGTACGTGACCCAGTCTGCCTTCGGAGAATGAAACGGAACCCGCGCTTTCTTTCCAGACTTACGAAGTAATCGGAGGCCGCAACCTAAGAACGTGACACGGTTTCGAGACGTCTGTCATCAGGATACAGGTTGCTACCCGGCCGGTGGTAGCACGGTTTAGTCATATGGGAAGCTGATGAAATCAGCCTGTCAGCATGACACAGGTTGCTACGCACAGGCGTGAGTGAGTGCGGCTACGGTTGGCTAGTGCGGACCGCTAGCAGGTATGGAATCTGTCCAGACAAGTGGCGTGAGTCAGCGTAGAACGTGCACCCGGAGATGATAGCAAGTGACCTATAAAAGTAACCGTGTTCTGTTAGTAATATACGTCGGTCTAACATGCCAGGTGTTTTGTTTCGTCCCCGGCTGGGTTGGCAGAGCAGAGGGCAGGAGCAAAGAGCAGTGTTGCAACATAAAGCATCAAGTGAACAGTGCTAGTGTTCACATGGTTGGCGGCATCCGGTTTCGGATTTGTCTGTCACTGTGGCCAGCCATAGGACGCCTGCGCCTACACAGGGACCATGGGTGGCTTGCGCTGCACCACCCACAGCTCCAACCACACACCCCATATCCAGTGTAAACCCGAAGGAATATGACCGGGAGGCATGTGGATGGGAGCCACGTTTCATCAACGGAGCCGGCCCACACTCCTTCACAGACAAACACAAGCACGCTGTATTTGGGGAATCAACCGCACACAAGGCGGCGGCTGGACCGTAGTCCGCTCCACACTGAGTGCATGGAACCGCTCTTCGAGCCTAGCACGATCACAAGAACCGTGCACCCCGTCCCCTCTAGCAACGACCAACTTTCGCCTGGAGCCAGTATGGACGAGGTAGTGGGTAATAGACATCAAGCGCAGCCACACCGGGGTTATCAAGCAACAGTCAATCACTTGAAACGACAAACTGAAATAAAATAAATCCAATAATGCATACAGATACGGTGACATAACTCTTCCCTAAATTACCATATGAAGTAAGTTGGTTAGCAACGAATCCGCGATAAGTAAGAAATGTCCACAAGTTACTTAAAAATGCTACAAACGCAACAAAATTACCGAAGATAAGCGCAATTAGTGTAAGCAACGTGGCCAGTTAATAGAACATTATTCAGGGAGGCAGAACAAACCAAATAAAGCGAAAGAAAATTTATCCAGCTTAAAAAGACCTAGTTTAAGTGTCAGTTGGTTTAGCCCAACTGCGGTGAAGAAGCATCAATAATGCAACATCAGCCTCAGCATGAGGCACACATACATACAGGGTTGGCGGCATCCGGTTTCGTATTTGCCTGTCACTGTGGCCAGCCACAGAACGCCTGCGCCTACAGAGGGATCACGGGTGGCTTGCGCTGCACTCCCACATACATGCATGAACTCACAGCTCCAAAGTTCATGGCTAACTTGCACCATCTTTTATACCTTCCCCGACATTTAGTTGTACCTTTAACATGATCATGCTTACATAGGCGTGCCCCGCATTGCACGAGAATAAAGTATTTATTTATTTATTGTCGCTTGTTTGAAATAAATACTGAATAAAAATAGGTGTTAAAATATATGACTGATCATGGGACAAGCTAATAAATTCAGATCCCTTCCCACCTGTTAACTCGCCTTTCCGTCGCTCATACAGTGATTTCGCGCGCGCATTTTTGACACTAAAATACGCTATCCATCAGACTGGAATATATTTCCCCCGAGTAAACTTCCCTTGTAGAAGTTGTAAATAGCAAAGTAACACACAATCCCTCACACAATCTCCCTTCGGTTCAGAGTGTTAGTGTGCCCGAACAATTCCTTCGGCGTCTACTGGACTTCCTGTCGGCTTAGAGTCGTGTGTCTAACTCGGGTGTTCAATCGTGGTAACATGAGCGGACAGCACACACACACACACACACACCAGATTGTGCACACACAACTGCATGAGTTTGCAACTTAGGGTTTGAAGAGAGGCAATCAAGAATGCATTCAGATGGAGGTCACCACAATGTCCGTCGGTATGGTTTTGATGCAACCCAGTTGTGCAACTATGACCTGCGCACCAAAGCAGCACGGTGGATCCATTCATCATGAGCTACATCACCATAATAATAGTAATAGAAATAATAGAAATAAGAAAGTGAGACCGCTATGTGCTCGGAATAACAAAGTAGCACAATGCAGGCAGCAAGCAGACAGAGAACACAAAGCTATTTGGACAGCACAGGTAATCAAGTGGGCGGGAGGTGCATTGAGTGAAGTAGTTCTGAACCTGGATGGGCTGAGTTCCTCTACCAGGAGTACTTTAAACCAGAAGTAACCTCACATGACTTGGCGCCGGGACACACAAATGTCTTGAGAAACTGCTGCAAGGAAGTACGCAATCGGGTGTGGACAATGGAATGAGTTAGCAAACGTCACAGATTCAATAAAAAGGTAAAAACAAAATGTCAGCAGGAATAGTAGCCAGATATGGGGAAAGGGGTGTAAGAGGTCCACTGATTTCTTGAATCTGTCATTTTCGGAAGGGTAGATGACTGCCAGGTAGGTGAAAAACACCAGTGCTGCGTAGACTTTTAGTGAGTCTTACATGTCATGTAAATAACTAGCCGACTGGAGGTTCTGACCAACTAAGTGCAGTAATGGCAATTTGCAATTGTTGGGTGTGAATGCATTGCGACACGCTATCCGAATGTGGACTGCCACTCGCACTGAAGTGAACCTTGGTCACTTCTGGTCGATGGCCGAAGAGACAAAGGTGTCTGCTTTGAGGCTCGGACGCCAGCAGTTCGAGCGTGTGTAGAGGACTGAGCAAGCCTCACAGTACCCTTGGCCCCAGCGAACTGGTGGTGGTTGCGTGGCAGCGAAGCATCGGTACGCGTATGGACATATTGCGGACGTCTCTCACTCAACTGGATCACTGGGATCGTAACTGATGGAACAGGTAAATATTGAGGGTTGCCCACCCAGAAACACTGCAGTCTCACAAAACCGGCTGACACGAGGGATACCTCTGTGTCGCATAGTACCAAGTAGAACTAATGTGCAGATGGGTCACGAACAAACAATAGGCTTAGTTCAGAGTATCATTCCCAATGCGAATGCAGGAGCGGGGTGCATCTAGCTACTGCTGGTCCGGCATGATTTTGAGAGACGAAAACGGCGACAGACATGGGAGAAATGCAAAGAAATAGGCATATTAATACAAAGAAAAAACAGTTAAAGAGGAGTCAGCAACGGTGGATTAAAAACATCGGATGGGCGAGGCGCGAAAGATGGAATGCAAGAGCGTCACCAACTCCATGACCGCACCAGGCCAAGTCACATTTCCAGTCAGTAAAATGGACGACCTCGAGGATCCCCTATTCAGGAAGATAGCACTCATCAGTGTGACAATTTTTCCGCGTTAAAATTCTCAAACGCTTTCATCACTTAACAAGGGGCGATGTCCAAAAACAACATACACCCAAGTACATAATCGAGGAGCGTAAGTAAGGAGGTTTAGATGCCAAAGGCGATCAGGTGCTGCTTGTTGACAGTATGCACCAGCGGACGTTTGCATTGCTCGACCAATCGTCCCATCAGTCGTGAGTGAAGCCACGCAAGCACCGATGATCAAGCACGACTGAACTCTTCATCTACCTATCGCAACGTTCAGCAATCACGTCTCAGGTTCGTACACTAAGCATGGCTGCGCTGAGGAGTCACACGTCAACTCATGGATGACTGAGTATCCAAAAAGCTAGCCATACACGCATTTGCGACGTCGCTATCTAGGAAATGAACACATCCATCACTAACACTGAGTGCATTGACGGAAGTGAAAAAGGTAAGGTAAGATATGTCGCACTCTGAGGGTACAGATCCAATACCTAAGTGGGATACTTAGTGTCGGGTTAATTCGAGGTACATTTATGAGAGCAGGATAACGCCCAACGACAGATACCGCCTGAACAATTCGATTAAATAAGAAACTTGTGTTACGCAATTGGAGATGGGAGAGGCAAAAGCTGACAGTTTTGATGGACGCTTGTTAAGAGAGAGTTCCTGTAGATCTATACACGGAGGAATAAATTTCGAAGCACAAGGAACCTTCCCAAACTGATTCGGTAAGAGTGGATCGCACCACAAACAAGAGCGAGAAACTGAAGTGAGCAAAAAATTCAGTACAGACAAACAGAGTAAACAGGTAGTACGTGTGGTAAACGGTTAACACTTGGTGGGGGTACATTTTCCTGAGGTGGAGACCAATTTGAGCTCTGATGATTTCACTCTCCCGGATACCACTAAACTGGTGCAGGAAGGTGCTTGTGAGAATTTCGTTAGTAACGACAATATGACTAACGCCTAAATGGTTCGCAGACCAACCAAAACCATTTTCTAAAGACAGAGGCTACAACCGCAAATGTAACATATAGCAGTAAAGACTGATTGGACCAATGAACACCAAGTCATTCAGAAAAGACAGAAGGAGATGGTTCATACCGGATTCCTTCGATAGCCCAAGTAGGTTCAGAGACTCAGAAGGCAATGGTAACCATGATGGCTTGTTGTATTGCTCCTAACTATGAGCTAACGGATGTGATAGTGAATTAACTGCCTGCTTTTCGCAGATATAACCTTCTCATTAGGACCACTCTGAGCCAGTGGTTTGGAGGAGTTGGCCATTGTTAAAGATACTCTAAAATCGTAGACGTAAAGACGTCTGAGGCCCAGCGAATAACAAACAAGTGTGGAGCGATCGGGAGGAGCACACATCACATAGACGCCCAATCCGCATGCATCACACCGTATAGGATAGGAATGATGGTGGATACGGGTAGCATAAACTGGCGGTGCATACTATACGGTTAACTGGTCGAAAATGAGAGAAAGATGAACTGGCGGAAAGATAGACAGATGCGACAGACAGATGGATGGGTGGACAGACGAACATCCGTTCACCGCTCACCTCTTTGTCAATCAGAGGCTGCTCCTCTCGGATCCCGAGCATATTCGGTTGGATAGGTACAACGCAATCAGGCCGATCTCGCCCAAGTACCGCAGATGTGGTCAACGAGGCGAACCGATTGATGAAACACCGAAACAAGGAGTTGAAATCTATATTTCCGTTGTTCCCGTCGTTCCACGGCTGTCGCTTGACAAAGAGGACAACTGTAGGGTTGCTCAGATCGTCATCCAAATGTCCGTTATTCCTGTAGGAAGTGAGTGTATTTGTTAGACATCACAACTGATCTGGTGAAATGCTAAGAAACGGGAAAAACTCCCGACCAACGGGGAATCAAGTGCAGACAGGTGACATGACTAAACAATGCGTTAACTACGCGCTACACAAAATGTTTGCGTCATGGACCTGTTTTTAAAGGAAGCTCGCATGGCGGACCACCTAAAATACTAGTAATAAAACGAGAATGTGACAAAGTACCTTGAGAAATGTCATTACTGTTCACTGAATTAAGACGGATATTCATCAACATTAGTAATAGATGAAAGATATTGAAGGTAGGTAGAAAAAGGCAATGCACCTTAATGTGACGGATGAAATTGTTTCTGATATGCAGCAATAACTTAAGCTATGTTAGGTGCTACTGAGGAAAGTTGTAAGCTCAAATCTGGTTTCGCTTCAAGTCTATTGTGGCAGCTCGTCTTTGTGTGAGTGTAATGCGAAAACCCACATTTACACAGATAAGTTGTGGCAAATGTGAGAAGCACAATGACAACTACTTTCGCTGACAGGCTACCCATTTTCTGTTGTACGCTAGAAAGTAGAAGGCAACACTGTGAAACTCGTCATGAAGGAAAGAATATGGTATCATCGGAATTGACTGCTCCTAGTGAAGAGATAAGAAAGGAAAAGGTCATTTGGCGCAAGTAAATAGGTTCCTTTTATATTTAATATTTTCCATGCTTCGTTGGGCGAAATACAGACAAGGGCTCGGTCACACCTCTCAAATTCTGAAAAATTTCGACAGAAAAAGGCTGCTAGAACTTTTGTACCCCTCTTCAATTCTCCAGATATCTCGAATGCGAAAAGCTGTCTAACTCTACACTGCCAACTTTCCGTAGAGACCATGGATTTTATCATCTGCACTGAAAATCATTGTATGTTTTCGCTGTAGCACTAGATTTACGTTAGCTATCTTCGCGAAAAATAACTGAAAATAGGCAAAGAAGTAAATAGATGGTATAGCGGAGTTTGGCGTTGATAGTAGAATTCCTCTGAGATACGCCCTTGATCATCATGTGCACAGTACTTTTCGTTCCGATACATAAGCTTCCTTCTCCACTGCGAGGATCACTGGCACGCTGTCCGTGGCCTCAGATAATCCGGAGTTATTCCCTTCTGCCACACCGCGTGTGCTACTTATGCTCACATTCTTGTGCTGTGGTTCATCATCTGTTTACGTATGCATTCCCTCACTAACCATAGTTGATCTGATTTGATTTCGTTCCGTCGGTAACAGATGCCCCATGCACCATGCATGATGTTGCTATGTCCACGGGATTGTAGCATAATTACCGCGCTTTCTCAGAGTGATGCTCAGGTCGTCAAATTTGATATCATGTTTAATCGTATGTATGTTTTCTGTAAACCCCTCACTCTGTGGCTGGGCCATCGATGAGTGGCCAGTGTCCTTGCTAATACTTCCACACGTCTATGGCGTGCTCACTTGTCCTCTGGCCGTAAGCTTGAACAGCGCATTCCTCCCCGTTGTGTAACTGTATTTTGTTGCTAACGGTGATACACCGGGGTCCTGAACAACTGAGGTTGCCCGCTTTACTTAATTGTATGTAATTTAATGGTAACGTAGTTATTACGATCCAAGTTTGTTCTAGTTTCGGGATCATTGGCTACGTGTCATTCAAGGTTCGACCGGTGAACATTACGAATGGTATATTGCTCGACGGTGCGAGGCACAGTCCAAGTGTGGTCTGATCAATGGCAATCGCTTTGCATCACAGTCAACCGGAACCGTAAATCAAATTGCTGATTCAAGAAGCAAGATAAAAATTTCTATGCGTAATTCGGACAAACGCAGTGTGTTATGAGGCCAAGGGAAAGCGCCCCTCTTACATCAGTGGGGATAAGTAAAGACACGTAGGACTAAGGAGAAATTTCTACCTTCTTAGGTATGGTTCCATATGGCATAAGCTGCCAAAAGAGATTAGATGTATGGAACATTTTTGCATGTTCAAGAAAATGATAAAGGTGAAAGAGTGAAATTGATCTTAACAATTCAACTTGATGATGAAAAGCTGTATGAAGAACATCGACTCAAATGCAATATATAAAACATGATCACCTAGGATGAGATGCTACAAACCGCTTCCTATGCTATTCTTTAATTCTACGTCCCATGCGGTTTTACTCCATTTAAACTTAATTCATATCAACTGTCTTCTGTTTAAAACAGAGAGCAAAATTATTTACTGGTGTGACGTCAGGAACTATTTTCGTAATTTTCCCCACGAATTGATTAATTCGTAATATTGTTCTGCGACCCCTTCGCTACATTTGTTCTCCAGTGCTAATCATTTCCCCCTCTTTTCTGAAGTTAACAGTCCAGAAACATATATTTGAATTCAGTGACGGCAATAACTGATTCCCTATGCGACTTTTGCCTATGGACAACTCGTACAGTTATCTGTCTCCGGCTGTCACGCCACACAATTTGATCGTATGATCGGCGCGATCCATTTTTACGCTGATTGAAAAAACATACCGGCCTATTTTTCACATAACGATATAGTACCTCTTTCACATAATTCTTCCTTTCTACATTCTTCCTTATTTCATTCTTGATCACGACTGGGCTGATCTCTTGTGGTGAAGGATTATAGCTTCCAGGTTATAAAAGACTTTACCTATGCAAGGCACATTGCCACATATTGACTGGTGTATAAAAAAGTGCCATAATTAAATAATCCGCATGACGGACTGGGCTGAGGCTTCATCGCTCATAATACATGTATAAAAGCAGCCCTAAAAATAACACAACATATGATAAACAGGTGGTGGCTCATGTGTTAATATACCACACCGGCACGCGGCCAGGTTTAGCATGAAAGTGCGGGCGAAACGTTTCCAAGTAATACCTTGTATAGAAGCAGGTCCCCTGGGGACGGTTCCACGAGTGGTCGTATTACTTTAAGTGGACATCTGTTTAAATCTGCACACGTTATCGTTTCTGGTTTATTAATTTCTTTAATACCTTAATCCTGCCAATTACTTTAGTACCTATTTTGGATCAATTATAAAAAGCGTGAACAAATTGATTATTTTTGCGATTGTGTTGTACACATTGATCAGACCACATAGTTGGACTGCACCACGAATCACCGAGGAATATACCATTTATTTATTTCGAATACCGTTACACAAAAGCTTCAATAGTCGGTGGTACAGCGAGTGAAATTCGATGAAATAAATTAATTTCACTGTATACTTGACGAAAATGGCGAGACTGGGCGGCATTTTCTGAGGACAAGTGCATGTCCGTGATTTAATATAAGACTTTCCACTCACAAATTTCAAAATGGCAACAAGGAATATCATTTCGACAGGATAATCTGAGTTCGACTATTTCGCGTATTGTCGTCAGCCGTTTACATACAATTAGTGAAATAATTAGATTGCATACATTCAGAGTGTAGCGTCATTGGTGAATAGAGAACGGTGAAAGTTCATCTGATGGTGGCCAGCATTCCGCTGAGAGGGATGTGGTCACTAGCCACACCAAAGCAAGACTGACTCGGTCTGCGTACACAAAGTGGGTTTCAACCGCCTAATTGTCGAAGCCTCAGCAAAATGCAGCAGGCGGGCGGCGCTCTGTTGGTTGATTATCCTAAATCATTCACGAGGGTTTTCACACATGGGGAAGTCAAATATGTGCCGGGCGATGGGACTCGCGGGCAGCTTTGGATCAATCGCGACCAGGCTTCGCGAAATATGCTATGAAATTCTTGTGGGCGGTCTGCTCTCAGTTCGGCCGACGTACTCACTGCCGCAAGTACAGTGGGGCGGTAACTCGGGAGTCTAGCTTGTTCAGGTTAGATTTAGAGAGTAGCTTCTTACCTCAGCGTCAAAGCACAAGCTCAGCGGCGTAATAATACATTTGTTTGGATTGATGGAGACGGTATCGGACTCTTCTGTCATTTTGATCGCCTTTGAACGGTAACGTTAAGAACATCTTTTTCTTGGGGACGGCGCGCACCCGTTCGTTCCTAGTTTTCGTGTTCGCGTCCCGTGCTATGAACTTTTCAGCATATCCGTTCTCAAGTAATGTTAAGAAAACGGGTTCCAACTCACATTCAATCGTTTTCTTGGAGCAGATCCGGAGAGCCATCGTAAAAGTGGTACGAACCAGAGCTCGTTTGTAATTTATACGACAGAAACTGCTAAAATGCAAGTACTGGCCTGACCAGGTAGGTTTGAGTTACACAGATCGACTGAGTGTACCACTTGGACTTCTTTTTAGGCCAATGTCCAAAAATGTAAGGCACCGGAAGATTTATTTTCAGCTGTAAATTCTACCGTGGGGTAACAGCTGTTGAGCTAATAGCAAGCGATCGGCTTGCTCGGCAGTGTCTACAACGACGAAAGTATCGTCTATGTAGCGGCTATCTAAATGTACGTTTTGTACATAAGGACTTAGCTTGATGTTTTGCATATACCACTCTGCGAGACTTCACGGCCTTCGCACACTCACTGAGCCAATAATCTCTAGGGGTTCGGGGCACTGTAATCCGTGGTTGGTTACTGGTCGACGCTCTTACGACTAATGTGGCAGTTGCTTTGGGGGACCGGTTGTACTACGCATGAAGCGAAAAAGTCGCAAAGTTTGACACATATGGTGCCAATCTTTGAGTTTGAAAAACGATGGTAAATGATTGTGAAGTTTGTGATGAGTTTCCGCTTCTTCACTTGCCATTAGTCATCTCGGAACGCGGGCACATAGTCAGGAAATCGGGTTTATGGTGCTTGGGCTTGAGCTCTGAAATAGTTGTGAGTTAAATCTGGTGGCTATTAGGGATTCCCTAGCATGTTATGATGCTTAGACACGAGAACTTTAACACCTGTCAAGATGTGCCCTATTTTGCATGAGCCCTATGAAGCAATGAAATGGTAGATGAGCCGGCGGATGAAGCGCGATTGCGCCCTCAGCGCAGGATGACGACTTCTTTGCTTGCTCGTTCGTTCAATGTTTCCACTTTGGGCCACAGTTCTTGGTGCATAGTTAAAAAGAGAAAACACGTTATTGTACAACAAATCTTCAGATGCGATGCCCCCAATCCAGGTTCAGGTTACATGTTGGGTTCGGGAGATATCGCAAATACAGATTACGGTCGCTATTTAGGCGTGGTCCTTGCTTACTTATTTGTGCTTTGTCTTTTGGTTTGATGCATGTATCTGCTAGCCTGTTTGCTGAAAGCATCCTCTTTTATACTGAGGCTTAGAATGTAATTTCAGACGCAGTTCGTCGAAATCCCCTCTCAGTCAGCAGACTCCGACGCGTCTGGAAAAGCCCCAGACAGCGCCGTGTTCGATATTCTGGATCTCGTCAGTGGTACACCTGCCGGGTTCCGACCCCATGACTTATGGATGCCAGCAGCTTGTGTCACTAAGCCATGGGTGACGGTCGTTGACCTGCATGACTGACAGTTGACTACGACTCATCCACCATTTTTACATATCATAGAAAATGGTGAAACGGTGAGAGCGAAATGCTTGATTAGTAAAGAATAAGAGGAATTTTTAATAAAAGGAATGTGATAAAGTATGCCGATACATGCGTCTCGTGTCGTTTATCCACTTATAAACTAAGGAGGAATTAAGTCTGATTAGCCTCTAGTTGAGTGGAAATCGTTTAGAAGGCGCATAAGATTCAGTTGAGCATGAGTGAACGCAGTTTATCGTGCAGCGCTAAAGTTTAGTCCAACTGCAATGACCGGGAGAGAAGTTACAAGACGTCTGTGTGAAGCAGAACCGAAAGTGGTGTATTTCGTGCTAAGACTCCAAGCGACAAAGAGCAATAGGAAGTTCGCATGACCAGTAGGCAGAAAATAACAAGTACATAGGTTCGACCGATACTCCCCAAGCAACAATACTGTGCCATCTCTGTTGAGCGCAGGATGAGGGATGGGTGTTGAAATAAACAGAAACGGGATGAAAACAGAAGTCATCGGATAAAAGGTTGCTCGCTCCCCACGCACAAAGGCCCATTTATACAGGATTTAACCAGTGTGGAGATGGAGAGAGAATGGTGGTACCTACATCAGTCAGCTTACAGTCATGAAGTCCGTTTAAAGCAAAGTTTATAACGAATTGTGTCAGTTGAACCTACTGGGAGACTGTCACGCTGATACAAAAGTAAGGTGGCTTAGAGTTTATTCTTCCAAATGGAAACTTATTTCGGGAATATCTGCTCAAAGGTTTGGCTCCCAGCAGGAAAAAGGAAAAGGAGGTGCTATGCCATTTCAAATCAATGAGTAATATTTGCTTTATCGTCGTTGGGGAAAGTAGCAATCACTTACGACCAAACACGTCGATAAGGCTGTTCCAAGGCCGAACGGAGTTGAGCCCAAAACCGGCTTGTTTGGTTTGGGAATTCTGCGGATAACTGTCCCATAAGTGTGTGCAACCGGTCCGAAATGGTGGAATGGGAGGGAGGAGTGTAGTCGGGAGCGTGTAGTCGCGCTGAAATAGCACAATAAATGAACATCGATGAAAGCGTTACGAGAGGTAGGCAAGATTGAAATTAGGCAAACAAATATGCATATTTCCCATGAGTAGGAGGACTTTAGTCGTAATTTTAAGGTACTCGTTCCAGCACCTCACAAGCTACCTAGCACAATTCCCAATCCGGAGGCACCAAATGTGCGTTTGGCCCTATCGGAGCGAAATTACAACTAAAATTCTCCTACTCATGAGTAACATAAAAGGTAGTTGCAAATGCTAGGGACAGCGGCTAGTGAAAGGAAGGCATGACCTCGGAGGCTAGCCACTGTCATCCGCACCGGTAGCAACCTGCGTGGCAGATGAAGATAGGTCGTGCTATATCTGTTAGCTTGCAAATTACATAGCTCAACAACCGTCATCGTATTGGCTGTACCCACGGAAGCCGCGGATTTTTGAATCACCATGTGGTTTTGACTGTTGATAGCACTGTATGAAAAGTTTGAGCAAGACTTTTGCCTACTGACTTACAAAGTGTCATGGACAGTCAAGGAGATCACAGAGAGGCAGTGCGCCAAATCACGTAGGAGGAGCGGATGATAAGGATGGGTGGGAGTAGGATGCAAGAAATGAACAAAGAAACAATGTGGGTTTGATGAGGAGAAAAGCGAGTCGTTTGGCTTACACCAGAGAACGATCAACAAAATCAAGATGGATAGCGCAGCGCAATAGATCCATGTGGAGAGAACCACTTTGTTTTGGGGAACTTGATCGGACAGGAATGTATCTTCGACCGGGCCAATGTCATCAGACTCTGTGAAGTCCTCACAGGGTTCGTCACGAAAATAGACATGATTCTGTTGTCGGATGGTGTGACTCGATTCAGGACTGTGGCGGCGCAGGTGGGATGCATCTGCCGATTGGTTCGAATCGAGGATGGGAGAGGGGGAGCAAAGCCGGTTCTGAGTGGATAACAGTGAGGAAGATGAGTCGGGAGTTGTGTTCAATGCCCTCCGCGAACGAAGAGTGAAAGGAGAAGGGGTAGACAGAGACGAACTTGGTGAGCTGGATCCCACCGAGTCGGCAGCCTGTGCGAAACAAGCCACGAAGGAACATGTGAACAAGTGCAGCGAAGAAGTAGGCGAACTGGTTGGAGTTCCATAAGGAGTACATTCCTAAGATACACGTACACATCACACTGATGGTCCATAGACACAAGTGAAAAGAAATCCATCAAACAAGATGTACAAGGGTTTGAGAACAGAGTGCATCTCCAGTTCGGTTATTCACCAGCAACATAAACACGGGAGATGGAACATAGCCGACTTCTCTTCAACCATCACAAAGTAAGAAAACACAGACTGAAGACTCACCAAAGGTCGATGAAAAACATGAGCACATCGGTGGGTTAGAAAAAAGGGCCATATCTTTGACCCTCCTTTATTGCTTCATCTGCCATGCTCAGTCAGACGAAATAGGTATGTCGAGACATTGGGAGTTTGGATAGTTGATACCGCCTCACTAATACATCTGATAAAGCACCATATTCCCTCTTTAATTATATTTCGCCAAGTGTGCAGAGCACAACGTCCTAGATAAGATGTTCATCGCGTAAATGTTGTCCTGTAGTCGGTCTTCATCCTCATTCTCAAGAGTTGAAATAACTATCAAATACCAACAACCACGCACACACTATACACGTGGGAAACACCTCAGCTACTGTGCCGCAATACATAAAAGAAAAAGGGAATAAAATGCAACAGGTGCAAGCCGGCTGAGCTACCGGTAACGGGTGGGCATCGTTCCGGTAAGCTACCAGCCGGCTACTATGCAGCAGAAAAAATAATTCACTATGCAAAATTATAAAAGGTTAAATAATGAGATCGGGGTTGCAGGGGGAGGCTAAGAGGGAGGAGGTGGGACAACGAAACTCACAGCACGAACGCCACTGAGGTCCGCTCCTAGCCATGTCAACAAGTGCATCCAGTCAAATGTGTTCATTGTCTTTCGGACCCCAACCAGGGAGCCGAGACGCTCCAACCGAGGCCAGCTCCGAATTGAGGGTCTTCATTCATCTCGACCAAGTCATCGCTTGGCCACCCCTCCTCTTCTTCCATCCACACCCCCGGCGCGTAAACAACACACGTCGTGGCAGTTGGTGGGCTGGCATGCGTAACAAGTGGCCCAGCCATCGGAGCCTGGTGCGTGAAATGACGGTGCTGAGCGGTTCAGCTCCTTTTCTAGTGCCGTAAACAAGGTGTCGAATACGCTCGTTACTCACTCGGTGTTCCCACCAGATGTGAGCTAAATTGCGAAGGCACCGGTGGTCGAACGTAACTAGCCTCTTCATGTCCGCCGATCTTAGGGGCCAGGTTTCACAACCGTACAGTAGAGTCGAATGTACTGCTGCATTGTACACTCTACCCTTCAGGGCGAGAGTGATGTTGCGCCGGCACCATAAGTGGCGAAGGCTAGCAAAAGCGCCCCGAGCTTTTGCTATACGGTTCGTGATCTCATCTTATATCCCACGGGCGCTGATACCAAGAATAATAGTTTACGCATACTCTAATACACAGTTTATCATCTTTGCGATCCGATTACTCAGTATATATAAGAACGGTCATAAAATAAGAGCTAGTATGGTGATGGCTCGCTTGCCGTTATGCCACACAGACACGAAGCCAAATACGAGGGAATACTTCACATGGAACGAGGTCCCCCGGAGTCGGTTGAACGGATAGCCATATGAAGTTTATTATGCTTTTCTCAATAACCACCTTCCTCCTATTTTTAAACTCTCCTTGTTTGTACCATTTATACCCACTCAACTCCCCGTAAACCTGATTCTGAACTCTACAGATAAATCTGAAATAACATGCGCACTTTGAGACCATGTTGGACCATATGATCAGTCCAAGTAATTGGATAGTAACTCGCACAGTCGAGAAATATACATTCTCATTATGTCCTAATTGTTATTATTTTGTTCCCTATGGAATAGTTTAACTGAAGGACACTTAAGTCTTCTGGACTGTTATTTGTTCCGAAGCATTGTTGGAACGAAATGTATAATGGAAGAACCAATGGAAAATGAACTACGTTCGATTCTGTAAAACAGTATTTGCAACATCAGTTTGAGGTTCCTTTGTACACTATGGTCGGACCAATTTCGCAGGGCCGCGAGTCATTTCATTGAGAACATGGCTATAATTATCTGCGCAAACAGAAAAACCGAAGATACCTAGAGAAATAGGCAAGGAGATCGAGAAATAGACATGTATGCGGGTAGATGAACAGACAGACGAATAGACAGCATGTTAGACAGAAAACGTTTAAAAGAATATGATGAAAGGAGACATTAGAAGCATCCAACGGAGCGACCGAGAGTTAGAGGGAAGTGAAGAGGGACTCTACGTGGCTGATTTCGAGGCGCTAACCTGGGAAGACAGCATGCATCAAGTCTCCCATGTTTTGTTTATCATAGCATAGGAGAGCAGCATAGGATCACATAGAAAAGAACACAGTAGTGTCAGACAACACTCGCCATGGTTGGCAATCAATGTGCATGTAAACGACAATCAATGGATGATTCGGTGGAGCAGTGGAAGATGTACAAACTCAAAATAGCAGTCACCAACGCAATCATGCGTGCTCAGAGCAGACCATTGGCCGTATCCTGATTCATGCAGTGGCACGAGATGGAGTACGGCAGCGTACGCTCTGCTCTTAGCTAATGAACTGTTCGCGGGTGGCTTAGACTTTGAAAGGCAGCATGTGACGAAACTGCAGAGTCTTATAATATCTGTCTGTGTGTCGAATGTGTGAAGCTCATGGTGAATCGCGCAGGACTCCCAACCCTAAAGGGTCCCTCATTCACACATGCTTTGCTCGGAATATGTTAAAGTGGAGGGGGTCGCTTATGACTATTTTGGTAGTATTAAGGAGACAACTTCCGGAAAATAGCACATGAGCAGCAGTAGCAGTTGGTTATCACACAGCCTGAGACACGTGCCCACGTAGCTCACCGCAATTGATGTCTCAATGGTCATGGAGCTCTAAACCTGTTCAGCATGCGCGTGGCCGAAATCGGTTTCAACAGCAGGATGCCAGTCAAGGGGATTGAATCCACCTTCAGCGAGTGGCCAGTACAAATTGACAACTATACATTATCATCATCATCAACAGCAACCGCACATCAGCGATTTGTACTGAGACTGCTGCTGCTGCTGCTGCTGCAATGGAACCGTAGTGTCACACATCGAAGAAGAAGGGAGGAAAGTGCGGTGGAAAGTTTAGAAGCCCAAAGCAAATACTCGTCGGGATCAAGGTGCTTACACCATGTTAAAACAATGCGGTTACAAGCAGCTGGCTATCGTGAACAGATAACGCGGTATGGGTGAGCCAGATTCATGGTCTCACGTCCTAACCACCTGTCCAAAAGGGAGTTAAGACTCCTAGAAAAACACATTATGTAAGTGAGAAAATGAGTTGGATGAATGATATTGAGCAGAAGCATCACGCCTATCTCAGACAATTTCAGCCTCTCATGCAACGCATGTGCCGACGTCTACAGAGAGTAAAGCGGTTCTAAACTACGGTTTTGTGCAACCGACCTGACGGTTCCCGAATATGAAAGCTCTTACATTGAGCGTGTTAAGTTCTAACATTTTTTCTAGGATTGGAATTGCGCGGAGAATGAAGTCGCTTTCGACTGGAACCGCATCGAAGACAGATGATCTAGCACTGACCTTACCCCACAGATAACATCTTACAAATCTCAGACAGGCACTCCACACAGGAGGCGGAAATAAGCGTCCCAAGAATGCCGTTTTGTGTGGCCTTGTAAAGTCCTGAGCCAAAAACAGAGTAGGGGGTTACGCGGACTCCAGCCTCGAGGAATACACGGATTAACAGCATACGGTCCAATGGTCAGTGAACACATTTCCTGTCGTCAAGTTAGCGACTTTCCTCGTCTAATCACGAACCACACAAGATCCGATATCCAAATCAAGGCCCTCCGCAGCAAGCGATGGGTAGGCATATAAAACGTGTACCGGAACCTGCACAAACGTATTAAATCTGTAGTGCTGATGTCGTGGAGGGCAAATTTGTACAGCAGTTCACTGGCACACCTCCGTGTTATGCACACACACACACACACACACACACACACACACACACACACACACACACACACACACACACACACACACACACACACGAGGAACGCTTTCCCGATAACGACAGAGTCAGATCACCATACCGAAAGTGGTATATCGCATTGCCGTAGCTTAGACAGCCGTTACCGTGGCTGCTGATGGTATGGACAAGGAAGATATATAGATCAACCATCTCCAGTTCCTGGTTATCAAACGTTAATGGCTGATCTCGGATAAATCTAAAGAGCGCTTGTGTAGAATGCCATACGGGTGTATTTCCCGCCCAAACTTAAACTCAGGTAACTTCGAGAACGATATATATATATATATATATATATATATATATTTAATAACAAGAAAACCGTGGATCTGTGGCACCACATAATACATGGTAGGGTCGCCACAGTACACAAGTAATGGGAAATAAGTAGATCGATTCACTGACCGAGTGGATCAGCTAAAACTAAATTACCGCCTAGTGGTTTATCTGAGTGAACTCGACTGCGCCACATGGCACAGTGGATGTACGGCAGGATGTGTGTTATGGGTTCACTCTGGTAAGAACAAATTTCGGCTAGACATCACCAGATGACAAAGAGCAACAACGCAATGAGGTGACAAGAATCAGAAAATTCTCATTCACCCGGTTCAGCATGCTGTTTCTCAATCACAATGCTGCAAACGAAGGGTACGAAGTATAACCGGTACTATCCAGGGGCCAGATTAGCCTGAAAGCAACTTCCGATACCAGTGATGCTGCCACTTGCGAACGCTGTGCAGCATACGCGGACATGGGTTTAAACTTGTGGTGCTTGATATAGAGAGTAAGCTCTCCCTCTTCTGTATCGAACGGAGAGCGATTAACTTTTGGAACAGTCTGTCGGAAAAGGTCGTGGAGACCAAATCGGTACAACAGTTCAAAATGTGGTTGTATTTACATGGAACCCCCATTCGATTCATAAAACGATTGCACCTTAGCAATGACATACTATATTTGTGAACCAAGTGGAACGGTAAGTCAGGCATTTTGAAATGCCGCATAAGAACTTGAAGAAAAAATCGAATAGCACCGGTGGCAGATACATTGGTAATATTTTTGATCAGATTCCGTTGGGGTTGTACAGATTTAAGTTTCTACTTGGTCCCACAATACAGTATTCAGTAAAGTGACCATAAGGCTACCTAAAATGACCAATATAGGCAGTGTGCTGACTCGTAACATCACGACAGACAGGAGGTGGGAGTACGACCAGATGAATGTATGGAATCGTATGACGGCACATTCTTCATCATCCACTATCAGTGTGGCACACTTCTTAGTAAAATGCCCACGGTAGCGTCGGTTGGATTCGACGCGAACGTCCAAAAAACGGTGCATCGTATCTGTAGAGTAGTAATTTGACTCCGTGGCACATCAATCTGCAGTACATGTCTTAAGTAAGCCAACGGTCCCGGCACAGCAGTCTTCCAACGTTGTGAACTTCGGTCCCATTCCTCCAGCTTTCAATTTCCTTCTACTTAGCATCTTTCCTTTCTAGAAGCTGACGAAGCATCAGTGGCATCCTAACCCCCCCCCAACCCACAAACACACACATCACCTACGGTAGTGTTCATTGCAATGCACATAAAAATTTGAAGAATAATATGTCAGGCTTCAGTAAGTTGAATTAGACAATTTCATCTGAAGCGCCTCTGTCTAAGAGACATCAGACATGCGGCCTAACGGCAGTGGCCACAACACAGCTCCCTGGGTGACCTGACCAAGTTTACGTTTTATCTCCGCCTTATCCATCAAGCCTCCCATGTTGGGTAGCGCTTATCCGGCCTCAACAAACAACCATGCACTGGTACATGCTTGGAAACATGTAATAAGTAAGAACTCAAGAACTGTGAGTATGCAATGAAGACTGTTTCACCTGTGAATTCGGTTGGAGCCCACAGTCCGTCTGGCTGAGAAGATTGATAAAAATGTGTGTTTATTCTGGGACCAGACGGCGAATCAATGTACAAACGCTAGTCGTTCTCATGTCACATAGCTTGAGAATGGAACTAATTCGTATTATACCAGTACCAAACATATTTCTAATGATTGTCCAATTGGTTTCACTTTGGTTTCGTTGATCAATGTGTTTAAATGCCTATTTCACATGTTCCGTACGAGGATTGTTCCGATACCCACTTCGGAGCAATCTAAGATGTCTTCCCAGGTTGGAAGCAACACCGAAAACAAGTGAAGAGCATGGAAACCCAACAAGATTCCGTCACTGGACGATGAGCTGCAATGTAGGTCGGTGCTACTTTCAGCTCCCACACCGCAATTATTCGACGGTTATCTCCAGATAGCTGTTCAAACCCAGCGGAGCGCCAATGAAGTGTTCCTAGACATCAAAGTTGCTTTCGATACGGTGGGTCGATGTGCTCTTAGAAAATGTGTACTCAGGAAACCCGTTCCCGAAAATTATGTAAACATAAGAGCACTTCACGCGCATAGTTCGGGCAGTGAGGGTTTAGGACAAACGGTCGCCGCGCTTCAATATCTCCAGTGGTGTCAAACAAGGATGCCCGCTGTCATCTTTGCTATTTAACTTCTCCACCAAATCATGGACGCTACGTCCACTGGACACGACTTGGTTGTGGAGCTCCTGCCAGGTGAAAGAGTTCTTGAATTGGAGAACACCGACAACATCACGCCTACCTGTAACAGCATTCACACATGTCAAGTAGTACTGGACCAATTAGTATTGGTTGCCAGTCGTTTTGTGTAGGCTTCGTGTTAGGTCTCGAACGGCCTGCTCTAAGGAAAATCGCGTTGTCAGAAAATCAAGTCGAGTTGGCGCCACTGATTCAGACCAAATCTTGTAACTTAGATGGAAAAACAGAATTTCACACAGACCAAAGTCAAAGGCGCACCGAAACGAAACAAATTGACTTGTTCGGAAAGGTAAGTGCGCGATTTCCCACAAGGAACCGTGTGCCTTGCATTAGAACAGTCTTAGTTACAAGCAGACTAGTGTTTTCCATGTTGCAGAACATTGTTATTATCGCTTGTTTCACGCCACTCACACGTCCCTTGTTTCTTTGAGACATATAAAATCAAACGAGCACACTTCCGTGATTTGAACTGTATCAGGGTGTTTTCATCCCAACGCCGCCTGTTCTGTGTTTCGCCAATATACTTCTCGTCCAGTGGTTTGTCTTTTGAATCGCGTGGCACAATCTAGGAAGCCGCTAAGTCGAACCCTGAAAACACAACACTTCGCATTCTCGAAATGCAAAGCCCTCCTTTAAGATTAGCAGGGAGCTACCCCTGCGTTTACACTTGGTGGTAATCAGTTTGAAGCCGTCGAGAAACACAAGAATTTAGGCAGCCGTATTAGGGATAGTTTGAATAGAAGATGAGGTTGCGAACTGCATGGCAAAAGCACGAGACGCTTTTGCCAATCTCCGCCACCGGTGGTACCAGCGTGACATCACTCTGTCTCTGAAGAGCAGAGTTTACAAAGCGGCCGTCCATTCAACCCTCCTATACGGTTGCGAAACCTGGCCAACTAAGTCGACGGGCATAAAGAGGCTACTTAGGATCGACCATCCTTGCCTTCGCAGCTTTGCTCATGTCTGGATGGAACACCGTGTGAGCAATGAGCGTATTCGGCGCCACGAATTTGTCGCAGGAAGAACGAGTGAAACGCTCAGCACCGTTATGTCACATACCAGGTCCCGGAGACTGGACCACGCGTGTCAGCCCACCGACTCTCGCCAGATGCGTTGTCCGCGCGCCAGCGGTGCGGTTGGAAGAGCAGGAGAGGCCAAGAGGTCAAGGAACGAAAGATAGTGATGCATTGTTTTACTACTACGCTACACGCTAACGCACTGACGATGTCACCTCGAGTAGTGAGGAAACGTTTGCAAAATAACTGCCAAGCCCAGTGAACAGTTTATTCAACGAATGTGTTAAATGTTTCATAATGTTCAGTATCACACTAATTCATACAGCTTTTCTTTTGTATTGCGGTACAATAATTGCGGTGTTTCTCATTTTCAAATAATGTGTAATGATGATGATGATGATGTTCAAACTATGAACATGAACACATACAAAGACATCTAACGGATACGTGCATACCGTTCCATTTGATAGCGACGTGAACCTTCATAACGGCGCTTTTGTCCAATGCCCGCGTATCGTAGCTGAATGCTCTGACTTACGAGGTAGCGAGTTGTGGCCCGTTCGTGATGTGGAGAAGTGTGCATTCGTTAAGACAATGAGTAGCGTTCAGTGTATAATCGACTTGATCAAGTGCGCAGCAAATGATTCACGGACAAATGAGACCTACACAGTGACTACCAAAGATAAAACGACGAACAAGATACACGTGAACAAAAGAGAAGAAACACAACGCACTGAGCTTTGTTCTTCGGGGTGCCTGAATCGCAAAAGCCTGTCCGTATTCAAAAGACTTTCTGTGGTAAGTCCGGCGGATGGAGCAGAGGACATGGTTCCCTCTTCAACTGTTAGCTGCAAAATAGAAGGAAGTAACAGTCTCTGAAGGATAAAAGGTGTTGGTTTGAGTGTGTACACCGAAGGAGCGATCGGTTCAAGATAAGATACGGTGAATGTGGATAGCAGAAAGATGAAATCGTGGCAGAAAATAACCTAACAACTGGATTCAGTACAACAATGAGCTAGATACTCGCCTCGAAGTGAGGTGGGTCTAGTCAGCGTGACTGTCACAGAAGGGACAGGAATTAGTGGATAGCCATGAAAAAAAGAAATTAAACCCAAGAAGTTATGAAAAGTGTAACAGAAAAGTAACCGGGAACGAATCATAAGCGCCGGAAGTAAAGATGAGCAAATGGAGGTAAGAAGTCGAATGAAAGCGTTAGCGGCTTACTAACTGATGCAGTCGATACCGAAACCCTCATTCGACCGAATGATACGAGCTGATTTGACTCAATTTTTGATTAGTCTCCCCATGCCTCATCATGTCATCGAATAATCCCAGTGATAGCGAGAAGCTAAGTACGCAGTTAACTGATCTGTAGAGATGCGGATCCGGCCAATTTACGTGGTTAAGCTCAAAAGACGGTTCAGAGCCGAACCGCAGGCCGGTGTGTTGCTGACAAGGTGTAGACGTCTTGAACCGGGATGTTTGTCTGATGCATTGCGGTTTTCTGCAGTAGGTCACCCTCTAATCATTTTTCATTATGTAGGTCATTGTGGTTGCAAAGCAGCGAAGCATCAGTTCATTTAGTGGACGTAACACTGTCGATGACGCAGTCCGTCCCCAATGGGCTCATTGACAGCGAGCATTGATCACAAGATTCGTTCATCCACATATACCGAGATGTCGCGATCATAAATTGAGCCAATTAATTTCATGGGGGAGCAATACTATCGAAAAAGCCAGAGGTTTTGGTTTGCCAAAGGCAATCAGCCTTGAAACACCGAATAGTAAAGCGTAAAACTGGATTTTCTGGCAGGAAAACATTGACAACGCAGATTGAAACGATGCAGTAAGATACATATATATATATATATATATATATATATATATATATATAATTCCACTTTATTTGCTTTGTTCTGCCTACCTGAATACTCTTCTATTAACTGGCCGCGTTGCTTACGCTAATTGCGCTTATCATCGACAACTTTGCTTCGTTTGCAGCATTTTTAAGTAACGTGTTTATATTTTTACTTATCGCGGATTCGTCGCTAACCAACTTACTTCATATACTAATTTATCGAAGAGTTATGTCACCGTATCTCTATGCATTAATAGATTTATATTTTTCATATTGTCCTTTCAAGTGATTGGTTGTTGCTTGATATCTCCGGTTTGGCTGCGCTTGATGTGCATGTTGACAAGGTGTCTACCTGTCTATTACCCACTACCTCGTCCATACTGGCTCCCGGACACAGTTGGTCATATATATATATATATATATATATATATATATATATATATGTGTGTGTGTGTATAGCCAGCGAAAATTATGAAACTATAGTAACAAATACAAAGATCACAAAGAAAAGATGGGAAGTTGCAAAAAAGTAAGTTTGGGGATCTTGTATTGTTTTGTTATTTTTTTCACACGGCGTTTTATCTTTTGCATCTGATTAATGTTTGGGGAAGTAAATTACGCAAACCAAGACAAACATTTGTACATATTTCCTACTGAGTCTAGTGTTGTGTCATCTCCGAAAGAGTTGCCAGCCAGCGGTGTTCTTCAGCTTTGATCCACCAGCCCGGAAGATGCCCAGGACCTACGAAAGCCAAGCTGGAAGTCTGCGCTTTAATCGTTTGTTGCCACGTGATGGGTTGACCCACGCGCGATTTCTTCCAGCCTGGTCATTTGCGATCGAAGAGAGCGCGTCGTTCGAGCGCCGTTCGTATGACATGCGTAAAACGTGGCCCAGCCATCTCACTTGGCGCAGCGGTACCAGTCTTTCAAGTGAAAGTCCCGTGTTACCCAAGACGCGACGTCTAACATCCTCACACGTGGTTCATTCACCACACTCGAGCTATTTTCCGCAGACATCCACTGTCAAAGGCCGAAATCTGACGCAAATCGTTCACACGAGTCATCCAGGACTCACTCCCAGACAGCAGCACCGCACGAACACAGGCATTGTAGACCCTGCCCTTTACTAATAGTGAAACGTCACGGCGTCGCCACAGCTGCCTCAAGTTGGCGAATGTCGAACGGGCTTTGGCAATGCGGAGGGAAATCTCATTTACAATGCTAACATCAGCAGAGACAGGTTCCCAGATAAACAAAGTTGTCCACCTGTTTAAGCTGCGTACCTTGAAGAGTGAGCACCGTAGCAGGTGGATGCCAATCCAGGACCAGGACTTTGCATTTCGTAGAGGCAAAGGTCATTCCATATTTTGATGCTTCAATCGCCAAACGGTTTAGAACAGCTTGTGTGCTCTGTGCGTCATCAGCAAGTAATGCAATATTATCAGTATAATCTAAATCGGTCACGCCGTTGCCAGGAAGAAGCTCTACACCAGAAATCTGAAAGCCCTCGACAACGTTTAAGAAGACATTCTCGATCGCAAAATTGAAAAGAAACGGGGACATGGGACAACCCTGTCGTACACCGCTAGTGACGACAAAAGGTGAAGAGAGCTTACCGTAAGTCCTCACATTATCTGAGACATTGCAATATAATGCTTGAAGGATGGCGATATACTTTTCGGGTACTCCATCCCTTTGTAAGCAACGCCATAAAGCTGGACGATCGACGGAGTCGACAGCGGCTCGGATGCCCAGAAAAACAAAGATAGTGGGGTGTTGGTAAAGATGACGCGTTTCAAGTAGTTGGTGGAGAGTAAACAAGTGGTCTATAAACCATCGAGCGGGGTGGAAACCAGCCTGTTGTTCACGGGGTTAGTCTGCAAAGTAGAATGGATGTTAACAGCTTGGAGGCAACGGACATTAGACTGATTCCTCGGTAGTTAGCGCATTGGGTACGGGTACCTTTCTTGAAGGTCGGAACGATAATTGACTCGCCCAAAGCGTATGCAACTTTTTCTTCACACCAGATGTTAGAGAACAGAGTTGTTAGCAGGCTGACAATTAGTTCGCCTCCGAACTTGAACAACTCTGGAGGAAGTCCGTCTGGGCCAGCAGACTTGAATCGCTTCAAGTGTCGGAGCTCAAGACAGACCTCAGCTTCAGTGGGTGGTTTCAACGAGACGTTTCAAAGCGCGCAACTAGGTATACTCAATAGACACGCCGGCGAAGGAGGCCAGTTGAACTGAGTGCGGAAGTGTTCAGCTCAGCGCTCCATACGCCTGTGTAAATTGTTTATCGGCGTTCCGTCAGTAAGGTAACACGGAACTTCACGAAAAAATGCATGACGGAGCTTTTATAAGATGACCAGATAGACACAAGGCACCAAACATGAATATAAGGTAACAGTGACTATGGATACAGTGTCATGTGTAAGCTAAAAAAGAGGAAAATGTCGAGCGATAAGTGCCGAAGCAGAATAGGAAACGAAGTGAAAAATTTGAACCAAGAGAATAAGCGTAAAAGTGTTAATAACTCCGCTAATGTGACTCGGTGGCCGATGATCCAAATCAGTGTAACGATGCCTGTTCATAGAAGGAACATATGTCAATGCGATCCAGCTTCTCCATCAACCTTCCCATACATGTCAGCACTTGAGTGGCTCGGTGCTTCAATTACTGAGACACATTTTCGGTCAGAAAAAAAGGGGAAACAGCTCAAAATATGTGCGGGCAACGCCAAGCAATCGGCCTGAACCCCGCCAAAATGCTCACGGATTGAGGTATCGTGAATTTGATGATGTCGTGCAATGTGAGAAAAGGCGATCAAAAACAGAAGTTTCTATTAATTACAGTGCACAGTAAGCACACCTCTGACTCGAAAGCTGATTACGAAACAGGGGAGCTGTCTGGCAAGAGCAATGACCACTTGATAAGCTGACTAACAGGAGAATAACTGATAGTCCTATCCTAATCTCTCTTGTAAGTATGCTTTTTGAGGTGTATGACCACAGGTGAAGCATTCTGAGTCAAAGTGCAAAAATTCGCATGAAATAATGGAACCCGGCTAGTTCGAAGCACCGTTGATAATTCCGCGGAAATTGCTAAGTAGGCTTTGACAGTTTGACGATCCTATAAATGTGATGATGGCAAGGAGAGAGCTTGTCTCAAAATTCAGCTGGCAATACTGATAAGCTAGAGCGCCCGTTATGATCCGGGTTTTCCGTATGATCTAGATCCTAACATCAAACGACAGCAGTAGATAGGCAGTGCTCGTAGGCTATCGTGAATGTGGGTGAAAGTGTAGGATGTTAAACGTCGTAAGTCACATGTGGAACCAAAGACATGCAACCCCGATAGTGATCCGCCATGCTAAGAAGGATGTCTACCTGTGTAGAGAGCCAGGTCCTTGTCATTCACTAGAATAAGACAGACGCGACTCGAGAAGTGCATGTGTACAGCGGATATAGAGGACAGACCAGAGATTACAAGTAAGAGGAACGCGAGATAAACACATCTTTTCCCTGAATCTCCTCATTTCAGCAACGTTGTGCTTACCAAGATTCTCTTCTCAAGACTGGATCCGTCGCACCTCAGCAATCGTATCCTAGTAGTCCATCATCGTGCACCTTTAGCTAGAGGTGGAAAACACTTCAGCTATTGTGCCGCAATACAAAAAATAAGAAAAAAAGGAATAAAATGTGTAACAGATGCATGTCCGCTGAGCTACCAGCAAGGGTTAGACGTGATTCCAGAAGGCTACCAGCCGGTAGTAAAAAAAGTATTACGCCAAATTTATATGATGCTAAGAAACGAGATCGCAATTGGAGAGGGAGGCTAGGCGGAAGCGTCGGCTGTCGTCCCGCATGGCTCAGTGGCATAAGCTGATGGCTAGTTGGCGTTAGCCTCTGGTAGTCATTGGTCCGATCCCCAGTAGGGGACCGATGGATGTGCACCCCTGACGAGCCTCAATAGGGCGAAACGCGCGTCTGGTGCTTTTCCGGATTGGTAGCTTACCTATGCGGCTTGGAATCTAATTGCGATGAACCAACTTGAAACTATGCTAGTAGTTCAAATAAAGCTGAAATCACACATAAAAGCAAAAAAGTAGACAGAGCGAAGAAAAAGGAGTGAAATATAGGATCTAGTGTATAAGAATAAAATGGTTTTGTACATGTGATGGGGGACAAGAAGAAACGTATCGCGCGATCACCGTGAAGCGCGTTTTGCTGCAGAAACGTGTCCGCTCTTCGTCGTATGACAACCTACATAAGAGAAATTTAGCGAGGAATCGTTGAGTAGGCCGGAGAGAAAATTAACCGCTTGAGATGTGGATCCGGGTAACTGAAGAGCAGCATCCCCTTGCTTCGCGTCCACATCACCGTCGTCGTCGTCGCCATCCTCCTCTGTGCCCACATTAGGGTGGCCTTCAAGAGTGACGAATCCGTCCAGATTGTCAGCATCAGCCGCCATGATATCTGAGTAAATCCTTTCCCGTTCTTCAGGCTCCCAGACTTGGTCAAGATCGATCAGATGGTAGGGGGAGAAATCGTGCGGAGCATCCACGTGGTTCGCGGCTTCATTGATGAGCTAAAAATGGACGCGAGAATGCTGATGAAGAAAACGTGTTGCGGATAAAAGTAGAAGAAGAGAACAACTAAAGCATGGGCTCAGTAAAAAAAACTTCGATGTTGGACATGATGGCGTAGGTGAGGATTAAATGAATTCCTGAAGCAAAATTCGATACGTTTGTTGTGTGAACCGAGGACAAGTACTCAAAGTCAAACCTGTACACATAAGATGCACTGGTCGGCCTATCCGGTGACGTATTTGGAGCTGAATACTCACCGTTCATGGGTGCAACAAGCACATTCATGGCTTGACTTGGGATGCAACACTCCCGAATCACGAAACAATGCACGAGATACTGTAGCAACTCGGAGTGTGGAAAGATTAGACGAAGCGTTTAATTTTAGAAGAGACTTAGTCAAATTGAAGGGTCACCGCAACGATAACACCGTAGGCAGCGGAATCGGTATCAGAATGAGGCGAATCAATGGTGATGCGGCCAAAATACATACACAAGAGTTGCTGTCTTACAATCGCTACCAAAGAAAAATGGTCCTACTTATAATGAATAAATAATACCGGGGATAAGAACTTAGGCGCTTCAAGCGAATGTGCGAGAGATCAAGACGAACAGTCGAAAACAGTTGGTCAATGTGAAAAGACAGCGAATTAGTGGCTATGCGAGCCAGACGTTGTGATCCACTTTTCTCCACAGATACTTCAGCACCATACACTTCGAACAGTCTACTGGGAAAAGAGGGAGCTGCAAGCGTGTCAACGGGGGAGAATGCGTGTCACATACTGCCATGTAGTGAATCATATATATATATATATATATATATATATATATATATATGTATGTATGTATATATATATATATATATATATATAAAGGACAATTTGAATTCCAACTTTGGAAGCAGAACGGGCTCACGGTACCAATTCCGGTATGTTACGACTTCAAGTCCAGTTTCAGTATCAACTGGTTACCTATCAAGGACGCGGAATGTAAATAAAACAAGGCTAAGCCGAATAAGTGGGGGGAAGGGGGAGGGCGGCTGGCAGATACTGCTATGCTCGACACTACAGCACATGGATAGCGGTCCGTATCAGTGGCATGCTTGTTGTCGTCTTCCATACAACGTGCCTGTCTAAAGTACTGCTGATGCCGTGTCATCTGCAGGATAATGACCGACGAGACAGCGAAAGGAGGCTAACAGAAATGTCTCGTCGGTGTAGCACTGTGACCATTGTACGGTAGCGAAGCATCAGTTAAAATCGCCGATGCACTGTTGTTTTTTTGTTGATGATGACAAAACCAACACAAATGACCCCACTAAAAAGCAAAGTAATAAATCATTGGCTGTGTGGTCCCTAACAAAATACGAGTAGAATTGGTAATGGTTCTTGGACAAGATAACATCGAAAGGAAGGACTGTGGATTGAGAGCAGACACTAATGGACGCTAGGTTGCTCTTTGTGTAACCAAAACATAGTGACCAAGACTCGATGCGAAATTGGCACAACTCTAGAGAATAACTGCAAATGCAAGCGCATCTTGTTATCATAACACTGAAGTGTTGGGTTCGAACCAGCTACAACGCAAGCGCCGCTGAAAAGGACGAAAGATAGCGCCCCACTGTGACATGTACTTCGCAGCCACAATGTGCGAAGCACTGTTGCAGGATCGCGCCAACTCACATCCAAGTCTCACTATCATCGAGCAAGCGCACGAAGTGGCCGATTAGTTAACGCACTTAAATATGTGCAGAAATCCTGGTGATCACATCGCACGGATTGATAGGACTCGCGTAACTTTTCAAGAGCACAGTCATCAATTAGAGGTGAGGAGCAAGAAATTTGGCTAGAGGAACAGTTCACAAGGATGCAGTACAACCAGCAATGACGCAGGAACTCGGCGGTTGTAGTCGGCCAGTGGCCGAGAGGATTGCGCGGTTGCTTTGCAATCCGCAGGTTACTGGATCGAATCCGCGTGGTTGCGGGCGACGGCGTTGCTGGCGGTCACGTGGTAGCGAGGCGTCGTTACCGTGTGCGTACCAGTGATGGCTTCATTGACGATCAAAAAGTGTACTGGTGCTTTGCTGGGGTAGCTTAAAATAGAACTTCCTATGTTGAGTCACATGCTCCATGCTGAGACTGATGTTGCATTCATGATGCTTCCCCACCGTAATTGGGCTAAACCAACATACCGTTAAACTAGGAGTTTTAAAGCTGGATAAATTTCATTCCAGTTTATTTGATTTGTTCTGCCTACCCGAATAATCTTCCATTAACTTGCACACGTTGCTTACGCTAATTGTGGTTATCTTGGTTAATTTCATTGCGTTTGTAGCATTTTGGGTAATTGCTGGACATTTTGTACGTATCGCGGGCGCGTTGCTAACCAACTTACTTCATGTGCTAATTTAGTGTAGAGGTATGTCGGCATAGCCGTATCCTTTAACAGATCCATTTTATTTGATAATGTTATTTCAAGTGATTGACATCCCCGGTGTGGCTAGGCTTGATGTGCATGTTGACAAGGTGCCTACCTGTCTATTACCCACTACCTCGTCCATACCGGCTCCAGGACACAGTTGGTCGTTGCTGGAGGGGGCAGGACACACGGTCCTTGTGGCCGTGTAAGACTCGGTGTGGTTCCATACACTCAGTGTGAAGCGGACTACGGTCCAGCCACCGCCTTGTGTGCGCTTGATTCCCAAGTACAGCGTGCTTGTGTTTGCCTGTGAAGGAGTGTGGGCCGGCTCCGTTGATGTAACGTGGCTTTCACCCACATGCCTCCCGGTCTTATTCCTTCGGGTTTACACTAAATATGGGATGTGTGGTTGGAGCTTGGGTGGCGCAGCGCAAGCCACCCATGGTCCCTCTGTAGGCGCAGGCGTCCTGTGGCTGACCACAGTGACAGGCAAATCCGAAACCGAATGCCGCTAACTATGTTAAGTCATACCATCGAATGCTTGTTAGCTGCCTTCGGGTGCAAATGTTATTCCTGCAACGAGCGCGGTGACCACCCAACGACCTGAAAGAACTGGCTGAGAAGTCGGTTAGGCAGTGTTACGTGCGGGGCAATTAACATCAGTGGGCAGAATCCACATTGATTATGACGTAACCAAATTTAGCGCTACTCCCCTATGGGTCCGACATTTCTGGCTACTGACTTATCTAACTGACGGTGTTGGGGATTCGTGCACATTCTTGTAAATCACCGCATTTACAAATCCATCTAGATATCAAATGAAAATGTACTACTAATAAGTAATATAAAACAACTAAAACGTATTCATACTGGAAACACCAGACGACCAACAGTTTGACAGGTCATGGCATACAAATGAGAGCCAAGGAGACTGCAGGCAAAAAATGGAAATTTTAATAATCAGGTAGGTGGGGAAGCAGCGCCGAAGCGTGGTGGATACAGTTAGTGACACTAGTCACCGGAGTGAAGCCAACGAATAATACTAAAAACAATGTATGTATGTATATGCATGTAATCTCAAAGTCTATTAACTAAACATAGAGCCAGCATAAAACCATGGAGATCAGCAAATAAGCAAGATACATCGCGTCATAACCATAGTGGCATGCTAGCTGAAGGTGAGCAACACACTTCAACTAATATGCCGCAGGAAGAATAGAACATTTTGATAAAAAGTAGAACAAAACATTTTAGTTTGTTTGTCACACGCCGATTTTGCTCTTTTTTGTCATTTTAACGTTTGTGGTATTGAACATGTGAATCAACACAATACTGTACACATTTCTTCCACTGATTCCGGTTGCGGGCCATATCTTCAAGAGTCCTAAGCCATTGGCACTCCTCATCTTTGGGTCCCCATCCTGGAACACGTACGGATCCAACAGCGGCTAGACACGACATCAGCGATTTCATGTGCTGCCGCCAAGTGGAAGGCTGACTACCACGCGGTCGCCTCCAGCCAGGTTCTTGACGAGCCAATAGTGCGCGAAGCGGTAGACGCTCAGGTGCCATGCGTAGGACGTGACCGAGCCATCTCAACTGGCGCAACAAAATCAGTTTGTTGAAGGGAATACTCGCATTCCCCAAAATGCGACGTCGAACGTCATTACTATTAACTCGATGTTGCCACCAAACACGAGCGATCCTCCTTAAGCAACCGTTATCGAACGCAGAAAGACGACGCATGTAAACCACGCGAATCGGCCAGGACTCGCACCCGCATCCACGGCCAGGACGGAGAGCAGCTTGTTCTTCACGGTCGGCCGGTGGCCGAGTGGTCGGCACGTTTGCTTTCCAACCATAAGGTCACCGGTTCGAATCCGCGTAGGGGTGGGCGTCCTCGCGGTGTACTCAGCCCGCGCGCGACTGGTGGTAGTCGCGCGGCAGGGAAGCGCCGTTACGGCGTATAAGCTGACACATTACATTACATTTTACTTGGGATAGCCTGCGAAGCAGAATGGATGCCAATAGCTTCGAGGCAACCGAAATAAGACTAATCCCGCGATGATTTGTACATGAAGTGTGAGCGCCTTTCTTGAAAATCGGGACAATAACTGATTCGCCCCAAGAGGAACGCACTTTCTTTTCATGCCAAATTTTTGCGAACAGCGCGGTCAGCTGGTTAATGATCGCCACACCAAAAACAATAATGTCAACTCGAAAATGTATTTGTTTAGACACGTTAGCAATAGGCAAAAAATAAGAAAATACGCAACATAAGCACGCCAGCTGAGCCCCCAGTAAGGGATAGATATCATTCCGGAGAGATAGCAATCGCCCACTGTGCCGCGAAATAAAGTTATATTATGCCAAGGAAATGAGATCGTGATTGGAGGGGGAAGGACAAAGAGGCTCACAACACAAACGTCATTAAGATCCGCTCCTAACCATGTTATGTCCAACCAAACGTGTTCATCATCCTTCAGTCCCCAACCAGGGAACCGAGAGGCTCTATTTAAGGCCAAATTCGAAGTAAGGGTCTTCATTCCTCTAGAGCGAGTCATCGCTTGACCACCTCTCCTCT